GTAATTTTTCCAAAAAGGTTCAATGTAATTACCGTTAATCTGTTCCGGCGTCCGCGGACCACGCGTCAGGGGTGGAAAAACGGCCACTGACCACGCGGCAGGGCGGAAAAAATGGCCGCGGACCACGTGGAACGGGCGGAAAATGGCCGCGGACCATGTGGAACGGGCGGAAAAATGGCCGCAGACCACGTGGCACGGGCGGAAAATGGCCGTGGGCCACGTGGCACAGGCGTAAAATGGCCGCGGACCACGTGGAACGGGCGGAAAATGGCCGCGGACCATGTGGAACGGGCGGAAAAATGGCCGCAGACCACGTGGCACGGGCGGAAAATGGCCGTGGGCCACGTGGCACAGGCGTAAAATGGCCGCGGACCACGTGGAACGGGCGGAAAATGGCCGCGGACCATGTGGAACGGGCGGAAAAATGGCCGCAGACCACGTGGCACGGGCGGAAAATGGCCGTGGGCCACGTGGCACAGGCGTAAAATGGCCGCGGACCACGTGGAACGGGCGGAAAATGGCCGCGGACCATGTGGAACGGGCGGAAAAATGGCCGCAGACCACGTGGCACGGGCGGAAAATGGCCGTGGGCCACGTGGCACAGGCGTAAAATGGCCGCGGACCACGTGGAACGGGCGGAAAATGGCCGCGGACCATGTGGAACGGGCGGAAAAATGGCCGCAGACCACGTGGCACGGGCGGAAAATGGCCGTGGGCCACGTGGCACAGGCGTAAAATGGCCGCGGACCACGTGGAACGGGCGGAAAATGGCCGCGGACCATGTGGAACGGGCGGAAAAATGGCCGCGGACCAGGTGGCACGGGTGGAAAATGGCTCGTAAGTCGAGGCGAGTTTGTAAGTAGAGGTAAATTTTTGGGGGCGGAGCTGATCGTATCTTGAAAATTTTGTAAGTAGGGGTGTTCGTAAGTAGAGGTACCACTGTATATAGAAAACAAGAGAGTGAAGATGCAGACCTGATCAAGAGCAGGGATAAGGCAATCGATCACTACTGCTTCTGAAACATTTAAAGCTCTAAAACTGAAAAAACATTTCTGCAATAGAGGAAATAAATCTGTTTCCTTTGCAAAAGAGATGGAAGAAATCAGCAGCCATCACTAGGAGGGGCATGCTAGTGAGCTAATAAGCTGATGAAGTAGCAGGACATTTCTAGAAATTGGGGGGGGGGTAGCATTTTTAAGGTTAGGTTACAGCAATTGTACAGTAAACAGGATTCAAAAGAAGATGCCACCAGTTTGCAAAATGACACAGGCACAAAGGAGGTATTGTGGCTCACAAAAGTACTTCCTACGCTGCCATCTCAATTGTTGTAGATGATGCTGACAAGCAAACAGCCCTTTTTCCCCCAGTGGCCAAATGGTGCAGCTTGAATTATGCTTGGAAATGTAGATAGATCTGCCACAACAGTTCCAGTTACAGCAAAGTCAGCAAGACCAGACCCCAACAGCAAATCAGTGTTCAACTTGGCAATTATACCTTTAAAAAAAAAGAAGAAAATCTCAAGAAATGGTGTATTCATATTGCCATTATTCTTGAAGGATTTGATCCCATTGATGACTCCAGAAATCCTTGTGCTGATTGCAAGTAAACTTTTGCCAGGCTGGTGAAAAAAGCATCCTTTGCTCAAGTCAAGAGTGCTTCGGAAAGGGGGTAGTCTTGGAGTGACAGACACAAAGCATCAGACAATGCTTTAATTAATGCATGCCACAAACAAGGTAGAATGCAGACTTGCCAATATGTTGATCCCAGCTCCTTCTTTGACAAGAATTGGATTAATGTCCATATACAGTTGGCAAGAAGAAGCTTTTGGGGGCAGGAACCCCTGATTTCAACAGAGCCAGGGGTTGTTCCTTAAGTTTTGCAGATGATTTCCTTCAGGACATTGCAACTGTTGCTGATTTGCCAACCACCTACAGTAATTCTATTTTATTTATTTATATT